CCTCCAAATATATCCTTTCTTTTAGTAAAAAATTGCAGATTTTTTTATTTGAAGCCCCACTATGTACTATTTTAGAAGCTAACTGCATGTCAGCTTATAGAATCTTACAAATCTATGAATGATATAAGGGAACAGAAGTGTTAGGAATTTAAACAGCTTACCAGAGCTTAAGGATCAAATTGAGGAAGTAGGATTGAAACTAAAATGACATTCTTATAAAAATAAGTCATCAAGCAAAAATTAAGTGTACAGAATCTATAATTCTTATATTTACGCAATCCACCTTCAACAATTATCAATGAATTCCAATGCATTACTGTATCTCTCCCACCAATTCCTTCTTCCATATGATTTTCAATAAGAAATATAACGATGTATGAATATGTTTCTCAAAAGAATAATGACTCTTAAATATACAATAACAGTTACCAAGCCTAAAATAACAATGTCCTCATATTCTCAAATATTTATTCATGTAATCTACAATTATTTTATCAACGTATAAACATTTTATTTTACAGTCTATATGAATGAGAAAACAAATTATGTTTGCATACCATAACTGGCTAAAATAGCTTCTCAATCTCTTAAACTGTTTTTTTTATCTGCACTTCTTCATCTTTGTAATTTATTTGTTTTAAAAATTTGATATTTTAAAAGTTGCATTTATGTAGTTAATTGTAACATGTTCTTTGATTTATAGCCTGTATATTTTAACAGAGATTTAGTTTTGACAGTACTAATCCATGGATGGGGACTTGTTTTTCCATCCCAAGACATATAGTTGAATCTTGCCAAGAGTATTATCTTATGCTGATAAATTATTATTGTTAGATTAGTCTCCATGTCGGAGAGAAAGGCAAACTTTTCCAGATACCTGTTAGACAACAGATGTCTCATAAATATATCCAAGACACGGATTTGAAAACAGTTTTGATAATTAGATAAGAAGAATGATGTATTTTATGAAAATATTAATTTCTAAATTTTTCCTCACTGCACTTGAGTTGAAGCTCATAATTTACCCTCCAGTGGGTTTCCAGAAGCTGTAAATTACATGGAAGGAGATTGTCTATCTTTATCCCATGGAGCAGCTAATAGAATTGAATAGTCTTCTTATTAGGAGCTCAATTTCTTACTCACTAGGCTACTAGAGCTTAAATGTGTTTGTTGCATCACTGCAAATAGTTTTGAAAATGACTTTTGTTGCTCTGCTGGCTTATTCTGTAGAGCATTGTGATGCAACCCAAATTCTACACTATTCTCTTGGTTCAAACCCATCAGTGACACAATAGAAGAAAGATGATGAACAATCTCCTGAGTGATTCACAACATCCAAAAACCACTGGAGGGTTAGCATGAATCAGTTCATAGGGATACATTTTCCTCAATTAAGAATTGGAAAATTGTGATCATCCTATTATATATTTTTCCATTTTTCTGAGGAGATATAATAACTTTAAGACCATATGATAGCTATCACAAAACAAGCACAGAAGTTTCATAAAATCCTGCCAATGAACTTTTCACCATGGGACAGCAAAATAATATGGTCATTAGAAAAGTAATAATTTGAAGTCTTTTGTGTGTAAAGCAGTCAGAGGAACAGATCTCTGATTAAAAAACAAAGACAAAACGCTGTAATTTTTTCTAACCTACTTTCAAATTACAGGAAAGACCCAAACACTAAATACAAGATAAACTTGCAGGCTCATAAGAGTTAGAAATTAGGGGATAATTTTTATCTGGTGTTATTTGGACCAATATAGAGAATTGGGGATCATAAGCAAGCTTTAAAATACAGGTAAAATGAAAGAAGCAGGAAATAAGTGAGTAGAGAAATCCAGAAATATGAATTGGGTGAACAAAAAATGACTAGCTAGACATTTAAGGTATAATGCAGAGCCATATCTTTTGAAAATTAGCATGATGTTTAAATACACATACGGTATACCAGATCATCCTGAAGTCAGATATCAAGGAATCTAATATCTTTGTCCCAATTTAGCCCTGAGATAGTATATATAAACCATTTAACTCCTCCCTGCTCCCTCTCTTTACCTATGACAAGAAAGAATTTGGATAGCTGTGAATTCCATTATTTCTGGGACAATTATAATGTTTTTTAATGCTAAGCAAGATAATTTAAGGTTGAAACTATTTATGTCTAATATATGGAACTATATATGTCTATATATGTTAATAATATAAAACTATGTATGTCTAACACAATAACTAAAACATGCCACCTGCTATCATGTCATCTTTTAAGGAATGATGTTTAAAAAATGGAAAAGGAAATAGAGGCAGGGCATAAAATCATAGATGTACATATAAATGCACATGAACATTACGTGCACTTTCTATTGAAACTAACCACATGGCTCTATTTGTACCTTCATTTTGATATGTACTGAAAAAACATCATCACAAGCAGAATAGCTGGTATTTAAGAGCTGCTTTCTTTCTGACATACCAAGAACTCCAAACTAGGATGATTTCCACTTTATGTTTCCTGTGGGTCATGATCAAAATTGATCAAAATCACAATGTCCATCTATCTGATTTTCAGATGTATATTTCATATGTACACAAAGCATGATTATTGTGTTTTGTGGCAGAACAGACTGTGTTGAAGATACAGATAAGTATGGCAGGAAAAGCATTATGTGGGAAGCCTTTTAAAATGTTCCTAGTATCAGTTTGTGCCCTTTTAGGGAGATGCCCTTGTTCATGATGTTAAGCCATTTCTAATAATTATCTGAAAAAAACCAACCAACCAACCAAACAAACAAACAAACAAAACAAACCCACAACTAAACTTACTTAACTACCTCACTGGACATGTATAAGATTTAATCAAGATAGTTTATCTTCATAAATTTTATCATATTATTAATTAAAAGGGTGTTGTATCATTATGATGTTAATCATTAAAATGAGTTTCTAACTATTAAAGCTGCGAGAGATAAACTTGAAGCTGATATTTTTCTTCAAATTTTTTAAATATTTTTTCAAATTTTTACAAACAAAAAGTATGTACTTAATTTCAAATTGTTCTTTTTTTATTTGTCAAATCCTGGAATGACATCATAATCAAGTTTGTTAGATATTTGGATATTTAATATTTCTCTTCTGTATCTGAAATTTTGTCTGCTTTTTATATTAACCAAATATTAAGAGAGCTATTTGAACTTAAGCTCAACAACGTACAAAAGTAAGCACAAATTAAAATTAAAACTTTGAAAAATAATTCAAGAGTTAGTGATGAAATATAGGTAGTAGCTATATTCCAAATAAAAGGAAATGCTTCTTCTCTTGATTGGAGAACTCTAATTATGAGAGATTTGACAGAAGTCTTCCATTCCTAATTGCATTCAATTATCAAACTGACATTTCAAAAAGTAGCAGTAATTACAACTACACAGCACAGTTAAATCTATCCTCCTACATGGTAGCTGTTCTGGTAGTTAGTTGTTCATCACTGAAAACAGCATGCCGTTCCTTTTATTTCTTCGTAAATTACTTCTCCTGTGAGTTCTTGGACTGTATTCAGATATGGTCAGAACCATTTGCATTTTGTTATCCAGATTTAAAAAGTAAATTGATCCCTGAATTGGGAACAAAATGGCTTTCCAATATCAACAGTGAGATCATGGAAAAAAAATAGTATTCTCTGCAAAGAGCTAAGAAATAGCTAATTCTAGATATAATGCTTTGTGTAATTGTTAAGGAAGACTCGAGTAAAGATAAACAGTGTGAATGCTGTGATGATTTACTAGTATATATTTGTAGAAAATTCAAAGTCAGAAAAGTGTATTACTAACATAATGCATCTATTACAAGATTTCACTTAATTTAGCAGATTGGAATGTATTATTTGAATATCTTGTCTTATTTACTGATATTGGATTCTAGTATACTAAAGACACGAAGTTAATATTTGTTGAATAAATGACCTTCACTAATTTTGTTTTCAGATATGATGGATGGGAAGTTTTTTACCAAAGTTAAAAACAATTCTGATTTATGTTATGCAAACAAAACTATGAAAAGAATTATGTTAATTTACATTAACAAAATATCAAGTTTTTTTCCTGACATTTACATCAGTATAAACCAAAACCAATGGCAGAAAAGCAAGGATACATCATTTCATGTTTCTGCAATTAATATGCAAAATGAAGACTTATCCAAAACATTATCCTTTTAATTAAAATAAATTCAGTTTTATACTAATAGTTAAATGACCATTACAGAATATTTTTATTACCATGGATTATTTAGTTATTCAATAGATTTATTCTTATAAACTAAGAGTAGAAACTTGAGCTCCAATCTAACTCAGAAAAATGCTTAATATAATTAAGTTTAGAGAAGTTGCATTGACATATTTAGTTTGCTTTAATTTTATTCACATATCAGTTGCTGATAAAATAATCAACGAAAAATTGATACTGCTTTGACATTTGTATTCAAACTGAAAGAGTTAGACAAATTATCAAGTTGTAAACAAACTGACTTGTTCACATGTTCATTTCATTTTAATTTTAATTGTGGAGTTGTGATAATTAGATTTAATGAAAGGATCTTTAAAATAAGAGCTTCTATATATGCAAGATATTTAGGAGAGCATATTGCTAATAACTCATATGGTTATCAAAGCAAACACCTTTGAATTCAATAGTAATAAGGAGAACAATTCTGAGTACTGAGAGGTTGTCTAGACTACACTCCAAATAGAAATGCTACCCTTACAGAGAGAAGTAATTATTGGGAAAAAGGTTTTAGTTTGTAATTAAGAAAACAAACAAAAATGAATGAATTATAAAACAAATGTTTTGAAATATAATTGATATAATTCTTAGAAGAAGAAAAATATGCTACTGGTACATTCATCATTGTAAAATTGATTTCTTCTGTAAATACATCCTTAGTGATTTTGAAGTTATATTTCTGCCTTTTACTGACAATTCTTTCCTCTTATACACTCTTTCTAGGTCTGGACAAAGTGCCAAAGGACCTCCCCCCTGACACAACATTGCTGGACTTGCAAAACAACAAGATAACAGAAATCAAAGATGGAGATTTTAAGGATCTGAAGAATCTTCATGTAAGACCTTTTATTTATTTCTTTTTCTAAACTAAACCAATGTTTTACTCAAAATATTAAAAATATAAATGAAAATCTAAGGCAGATTACAAAGACTGTCTATCAATACATTAGCCCAGCTGTGCATGTTCATTAAATTATCTCTCTAAAAATACCCCAGAATTCTCCCTTGAAGTATTTGGGGTAAGCAAAGCATCATACCCAATATCCCAAAAAAGTCCTCTACTCATGTTCCCTCTATGTTTACTGTTCACTTACTAAACATATGTAACCTTATTGACTCTTATGTTTTTAAGAACATTCATCTTATGCTTTCCAATGATATTAGTGCTATTTTGCTTTCTTTTCAAACTTTTTTGTTTTATTTCTGTCATTCATTCTTTAAGTGGCACAAATGATTTCACCAAAGCTCAAAGATTGCTGCTAAAAGAAAACAAATAGGCATCCATGTTTTATTAAGTAAATATAATTCTCTCCTCAATCAGACATAACATCAATTCTGACTCATAGTGACCTATGCATAGTTTCTCTTTTGAACTTAGAATTTTACATGCTTTATTTTATTCTTTCTTGCTTTTTTAATTAACATGAATATTACAGTTGGAAGAATAGAGGGTAAGCATAGGAAAGGAAGACCCTAGAGGAGATGGAGTGATACAGTGATTGTGGCAATGGGGTCCGATGTCTTAGGAATGGTGTACTTGGGTCAGTATAGGACAAGGTTCAGAGCCATTGTTCATAGAATCACCAAGAGTCATAGCATATAACAATGACGACTTAATCTCATATACTGTGAGCATATTACCAGAGCAGGTCAGTCTCTTGGAAAAAGGACCTCAAGCTTGGAAAAGTAGAGCATCGGAGACAAAGAGAAAAACCCTAAATGCTATGGATGGACACAAGTGACTGCAATTATACACAGCAGAGATTGTGAAGATGGTGAAAGAGCGGAGAGGTTTTCATTTTATAAAAGATCATTGAGTCAGAACTAGCTTTGCAGCATTAAACAAAAACTCTATTACAATGTAATACATTTTAGCTACTGGTATCAGGGCTTAAACAGAGTAAATGTAGCATTCTCAATAGGATTTCAACTCAGAGACTTTACTGAAAGACTTATTTACAAAAAGGAGAAAAAGGAAGGCATTGTGAAACACCCAACTGTTTTTGCCCCTAAACTGGGCAGAACGAGGGTGTTCCGGAACCATGAAAGAACTAGGGAGCTATTAACCTACCTCCAAACTTCCTTCTGATGCCGCCCTTGTCTTATCCTCGCTGGAGACCAGGGAACAAAAGTGTCTTGATGACGCAGTCTCCAGAAGTTTCCATCCCAGAACACAAAGAAAAGCAAAGAGTCCCTATGTGATTTGGAGAGGGTATGCGGTCTGAGCTTAGTTTCATTCTATTACATATGTTGTTAGACGCTTTCAAGTCAATCCCAATAAATGTTATTGTTGTGTGCTGTTGAGTGGGAACTGACCCATAGCTGACCCTCCAGCAGGTTTTCAGAGGTGGTTAAATCACACGGGAGGAGTTTTCCCATCCTTTTCCTGCTGAGCAGCCAGTGGATTTAAACTGCTTCTCTTTGGGGTTTCAGCACAGCTTCTCACCACTAGGCCACCAGAGCCCCCCTAACTAGTCTTGAACCATTCTCATAATCTTGGCAATGGTTAGGACTGTCTATCTCATTAAGAATTGTTACCTCCCCATGATACATCTTCAAGGATTTGTACATGTACAGCCAAGCACAATCAATAAGAGTGCATCTGAATTCCAAAATCAATCTCCATAATAGTCTATGTGTTTCCTACTGCCAAAGGGGCCCTTTAGAGTAGTGAGAGAAGATCTTCACCCTGAAGTCCACAGCGTCCCTTTTCAGCAGGAAGTAGCTAAGAGAATACGCCATCCCCTTTTCCTTATGACTCAGGGTGAAGTCTCTCTCAGGGAGGAGTGATAGGGAATGGCAAAGGATACACTGACAAAGAAGATTAATCAGAACTGGCTTTGACAAGCACTGTGGCATTTGGACAAGAACAAACTGGGAGGAGGGTAGAGAGAATAGTGCAACAATGAATGAGTGGAAGCCCCAAATCTCTGTAAATGTTTATGAAAATTAATAAAATATAATTATAGAAAAAAAAAAAAGAATTGTTACCTCTTCCCATTATGTTCACAAGTATGATGTCTTCCCAAAACCAGCTCTTCCTGAAAACAAGCCCAAAGTACTGGAGAGTTCTCTCCATTCTTGCTTCTAAGGAGCCTGCTAGCTCAATTTCTTTCAAGATCAACTATCTGTTCTACTGTCAGTCTTTGGTGTATTCAGTATTCTTTGACAAGACCATAATTCAAAAAGCATACATTTCTCTTTGTTTCTTTTTCATTGTCCCACTTGCACATTCGTGTGAGACAATTTTAAAAAATCTCACGGATTGGGCAGATACACTTTAGTGCTCAAAGTGACATCTTCTTGGTTTTAATTTTGCTTTGGCTTGGTTTTTGTCTTTGTCATTTTTTTAAAAAATCCTATTTGCCTAATACAATATGCCATTTGATTTCTTCACTGCTGTTTCCATGGGCCCATTATTAGAATCCACTCATTGCTGACCCTCCATTGAGTTTCGGAGGCTGTAAATCATATGAGAGGAAATTGTTCTCTTTCTCTAGATGATTCAGTAAACTGACGAATTTAAATCACTAAAGAGTGTAATGTTTGGGTTTGCAGCAACACTATAGACTACATAACCAGATCTTATTGTACACATAAAGTCTCCAGAAATTGGAAGTAACTAAATGACAACATGATCTACATGGAAAATGCTTACTCCAGTCAAAGACAGTCAAGATAACCTTACTAAGGAGACTTCTTTAGGAATAAATGTATTTTTTGTTCATTTATGAAACTGGAATCAATATCAGACTTCTTATGTAATCCAACTTTTTCTCCATGGAATATGTAAAATAAGCCAAAACTTACCACATCCCTCAAATATCAGTGCATATCTAATATAAATAATTTCAATTTCAAACCCAAAAGGAAGAATGAAAACACCTTTTTTTGTGTATCTGTATTTTTCTCTACTTAGATCACTCCAAATATTGAGCTCATTCCTAGGCAGAATTATTTTTTTAAAGCATTTTAACCTCTGAACATACAGAGGATAATGATTATGGTAGAGGGTGAATATGTAGAAGTCATGTGCTATAGACATAGTGAAGAGAGATGTATCTAAATTGAACAGAAAAGAGTCATAGTGGTTTGAAGACAGAAATCTAGCTTTGAACTCTAACATGACTGAATTCTCTTAGTGTAATTTCTGGAAAGCATATTTGTGTCCAACTTTAAAAATTACTCTTAATTGTTGTTGTTGTTATATGCTATTAAGTCACTTGCAAATCATAGTGACTGTATGTACCATAGCTCTTAACCCTACTCTGTCTTGAGCCAACCTCTTTGTCTCTGATTCACCTACCCCCTATTACCCCAGTCACTGAGCCAATCCATCTTATTCAGGGTCTTCCTTTTTTGCAGTGTCCCTCCATCCTTCCAAGCATAATGCCCCTCTGCAAGAACTAGTCCCTTCTTGCAACATGCCCAATGTCTATCAGGTTGTTGTTGTTATGTGCCATCGAGTTGCTTGTGACTCATAGCAACCCTATGTACAACAGCCCTAAACTCTGCTCTGTCCTGTGCCAATTGCACTGTCTCTGACACACCCATCCCAATTACCCCAGTCACTGAGTCAATCTGCCTCATAGAGGGTCTTCCCATCTTGTGCTGTCCCTCCACCCTCCCAAGCATGATGTCCCTCTCCAAGGACCTGTCTTTCCCTCCTTACATCATGTCCAAAGTATGTCAGACAAAGCCTCAGAATCCGTTCCTCCTAGGAGCAGCCTGGTTTAACCCTCTCCAGGGTAAACCTGTTTGTTTCCTTGGCAGTCCATGGTACATTCAATACTCTTCTCCAGCAACATAGCTCAAAGGCATCAATTTACCTTCTATCCTTCCTAGTCGTTGTCCAACTCTCTGATGCATAACAAGTTATTACAAAGACCATAGCCTGTATCAGGCACACCTTAGTCTCCAGAGTGACACCATTGCTCTTCATTACCCTGGAGAGGTTCCTAACAGCTGACTTTCCCATTGCAAAAGGTTTTTGGTTTCCTGGCTACTGATGCCAAGAATGTTGACTGTGGAGCCAAGCCGACTAAAGTTGTTAACAATCTCAATCCCTTCACCATCCATCCCGATGCTGCCAATTGGTCCAGTCAGGTGAAACATCAAAATCATTGCCTCCAAGGAGCAGCCTGGTTTCACCTTCTCCAGGATAAACCTGTTTGTTCTCTTAGCATTCCATGGTATATTCATTAGTCTTCTCCAGCACTACAACTCAAAGGCATCAATTCTTGTATCTTCCCTTGTCCTTGTCCAGTTTTCTGATTCATAACAAGTAATTGTGAAGGTCCTGGCCTGGATCAGGTAAATCTTAGTCTCTAGACTGACATCCTTGTTCTTTAGTACTCTGGAGAGGTCCCTGACAGCAGATTTTTCCAATACAATTTATCTTTTAATTTTCTGGCTTCAGGTACCAAGATTGTGGGGCCAGGCAAACTGAGGCTACTACACTCATAAAACAGAGAATACTGTGTAAGGATGAGTGATCTATCTAACTGGTGGCAATTTGATTCAGTTTAATTTCTTATAATAAATGGAATAGACATATATTATGATTGGGACTATGAACACAGTAAGGGAATATATACTAAGACTAGGAAATAGTGTTGTTGTTATTGTTATGTGCCATCGAGTCATTTGCGACTCATAGCGACCATATGTACAACAGCCCTAAACCGTGCTCTATCCTGTGCCAAACTCATTGCCCCTTACACACCCATCCCAATTACCCCAGTCACTGAATCAATCCACCTCATAGAGGGTCTTCCCCTCCTG